ATGGATGGATGGATGGATGGATGGATGGATGGATGGATGGATGGATGGATGGATAACTAATAAAACTGGCCTTGACTGAAAGGATGGTACCTTAACTGGATGTTTTGTTGCACAACCCTTTGAGGGAAGTGATTTTCAAAGGTTCTTTCACTAAAACACCTCAATCTGGGACTGAGACCTCGGTAGGTGATAAAAAATTGTGTCCATTAATTGTGATATTTAGCCGATAACATTATTATGACAATAATTAGATGACAACTGCACTGGCATGTGGTCCACCTTTTCTCCCCAGTCCTGAGGATATTAAACCTGCGAATAATSTGTGCAGCTGTGGTCACAGGAACAACAAGCTGCTTGGAGATGGTCTTATAGTCTCATCTTTAACATGATGTCCATCATTGTCTCCAACGTTCCTGAGACACTGTCCTCAGCTTCCTGTGGTCCATGTCCAGTGTGGTACACACCATGATGCCAAACAGCACTGTGACTACCTGATTACAGGACACACCTTAGTTTAACATGTCTCTAAAGTCAAACTTGTTTCAATCTTTTCCTTGTACAGTATTTTATTATTTTATTGGTACTATTACTGTTAATTCTTCTTTCTTATAAAAGACTGTAGAACTTTTTGTGTGAACCTATATATCTGCTCCTGAATTTCCCCTCTGCAGGACGATAAATGTTGTTTTGTTTCGTTTTATTCTTTTCTTGAGGTACAATCTTTAAGGTCTGTTTCATTTGTTTGTTTTTTATAAATATTTCTGTTGAAACAAATTTCACAGGCAGTGACTTTCACTCTTTTATTTTTTAATGTATTCTTAACAAGTGGCAAATTCACAAAACCTGCAGCGTCAGCACTCTAGAAATGATGGTAATTTAAAAGTTTCAGACAGGTTCCAGGGCTCTCTTGTATAAACGGTGCGTACGCAAACAAACGTTACGTGCGCCAGGTTCTACGCCCACGTTGTGATGGATAAAAACCAACGTTGCGTGAAAGTGTGCGTATCTGCCGTGAGAATGTGCGTCAGACACACAAAGTTTTTCAGTCGACCGTTTTAACTCACAAAGTCATGAATCTGAGCTGAATCCACAGA